GCCCCCCACCTGCCCAGCCCTACACTTCCCCCTGCCCAGCTCTGCTCCCCCCACCCCCTGCGCGCGCAGGCGTTCCTTCTATGGGAAGGCCGGGCGGTTTCACAAACCTGGGTGAGACCTGCAGGAGCGCAGCCTGACCGCTGGGCCGGGCCGGCAGAACACCGAAGCCGGGTGGCCAGACAGACCCGCACCCGGAGGCCGCGCAGACAGGACGCAGCGCCCGGCAGGCCCAAGCTGGACCGGCAGCCTCACCTGGAGCGCTGCGGGGACGAGTGGGCCGCAGCCCGGGTGCAGGGTCACGAGGGCTCCGAGGCCTCAGCCGACGCGGGGGACCCCGGAGCGGACTGCAAAGGGGAACCCGCAGGAGACGTTGAGAGCCGCACTCGAGGGGACGCAGAGCGGGGCAGAGTGACAGCAGCGCTGGTCACGTGAGCACGGGCACGTGACCTCGTGGAAGGCGGAAGCCCAGAGGACCCAAAACAGCCTTGGAGACCCTGCGCTGGGAGCACCAGCCGGGCGGACCGCGTGCCCCAGCCGCAGAGCCAGTGTCCCGAACCAGACCTTGGCGCCCATACCCACAACCCCAGAACCCAGTGCCCCAGACCCGGCTCCCCAGAACCCGGTGCCCCAGACCCGGCTCCCCAGAACCCGGTGCCCCAGACCCGGCTCCCCAGACCCGGCTCCCGGTGCCCCAGACCTGGCACGCCAGAACCCAGTGCCCCAGACCTGGCACGCCAGAACCCAGTGCCCCAGACCTGGCACGCCAGAACCCAGTGCCCCAGACCTGGCACGCCAGAACCCAGTGCCCCAGACCTGGCACGCCAGAACCCAGTGCCCCAGACCTGGCACGCCAGAACCCAGTGCCCCAGACCTGGCACGCCAGAACCCAGTGCCCCAGACCTGGCACGCCAGAACCCAGTGCCCCAGACCTGGCACGCCAGAACCCAGTGCCCCAGACCTGGCACGCCAGAACCCAGTGCCCCAGACCTGGCACGCCAGAACCCAGTGCCCCAGACCTGGCACGCCAGAACCCAGTGCTCGATGGTGGTGCCCACAAGGATTCCTTCTCAAAGTTGCCAGCTCTTAACATCATTCTTCTGAAATTTTTGATTTATGCCTTTAATTGGTTTTGCCTTTGTTGGGATTTAACAGCTCAGTGAAGGAAACATTCATAATGAGATTTTAAACATAAAACTGAGGCTGAGAAGACTTAGCAAGTAATGTGTGTTTCAGGAAAAAAAAAAAAAAAAAACAGTGCAGTTCAACTAACATTATTCATGGGTTTTCTGTTTCCGCTTTTGACAGCCCTATCTTGAGTCCAAGTTTTCTCCAGTAATCCTGAGCTACCCTTTGTTTTAAGGTGACTGCACTACTGCTAACTTATTTACAGTAGTATATTGAGGGTTAAAAGCACACAAAGGAATTTATAAATATAACCAGTACATTGCTATTAAAGATAATTGAGTTTGGGGCTGGAGAAATGGCAAAACTGACTGAGAACTGACTGCTCTAGCAGAGGCTGTATTAGGGTTCTCCAAAGAAACAGAACCAGTAGAATGAATATATTATGTATAGAGATTTATCAGTTTAGCACACAGGATAGTCTGAGTAGTCCAACAATGGCTGCACCACACTGGAGAGGCTGAGAATCCATAGTTGCTCAGTCCACAAGGCTGGATGTCTCAGGAGTCCCAATCTGGCACTGAAAGTCTGATGAATTCCAAAAAATCAGCTCATCTTCAGTCTACAGCAGCAAGATGAACTCACTGAGAGGGGGGGGAGGGAGGGAGAGAGAGAGAGAGAGAGAGAGAGAGAGAGACAAGCAGCAAGAAGCTAGTGTTCTCCTCTGCCATTGCCTTTTATACCAGCTGTCATCAGAAGGTAACACCCACATTTAGGGTGTGTCTTCTGCTTTAGATGATCCAATCAAGAAGAGCTCTTTCATTTAAGTTAATCCCAGATCCAATCAAGTTGACACCCAGGATTAGCCATCACAGTGGCCCAGGTTTAGTTCCCAGCACCAACATGGTGGCTGACACCCTTTGTAACTCTAGTTCCAGGGATCCGGCACCTTCTTGCCTCCACCAGTTTGCACACATGTGATTGCACTTACGTACATGAAGGTAAAACGTTCATACACATAAAATAATAAATTAAAAAATTTAAATATTGAGGTCAAGTTTTAAAAATCATCAAAAACCAAAATTATACATTGGCTATAGAAAATAATAGTACATATCATTGCTGTAAAAATTTTCCCCAGTCTTAGTGTCTTAAATTAACTTCACCATTTACAGTCTGTAGGTCAGATGTCTGACTGGGTCTCTCCCAGCTAACAAGTTTTAGGTTGGCCTGTGTTCCTGCTGGACGCTCTAGAGAATCCATCCTCTTGTCTTCTCCAGTTTGTGGAGGTTCATGACTCCTTTCTTGTTCAAAATCAGCATCATCATTTCTCCCCTTCTCTGACCACACCCACTAAGAGATGTGCAATTTTATGGTTTTACCTGGATAACCCAAGCAACTCTCCCCATGCCTGTATCCTCAACCTTCATCATGTCTGTCACCTTTAGAGCTCTTTTGCCATGTAAATTAGCATGTTCATGGGTTGATTTTGTTAAGGACATAGGCCCATTAGTAGAGGGAAAGACACTTCTTTAAAGTAGGTAGTTGAATAGCCATACAAAATGCCCTTGCAATTTACATGGCATGTCTTATTTTTCTGAAGTAAAACTTGTTTGTTTTTTTTTCTTTTAGCCATACTGAAGATTGAACCTGGGGTCTTCATATGCCAAGCAAGCACTCTGCCCACTATTTCCCCAACCCTGAAGTAAAACAATGTTACCTTTTCAAAACTGAGTAGAGTAGGGCCAGTGAGACAGATCACCTGGGCACTTGCCACCTCGCCTAAAGACCTGAGTTTGAGCCCCCTTTCATGATATCCTCTGAGCCTTTGACAGAAGGAAACCGTTGATTTATGTCCTGTTAAGACTGAGCACTCAGTTGCCAGGCATGATGGCGCACAACTTTAATCCCAGCACTAGGGAGGCAGAGGCAGGCAAATCTCTGAGTTCAAGGCCAGCTTGGTCTACGTAGTGAGTTCCAGGCCAGCTGGGGCTACAGGGAGACCCTGTCTCAAAAAGGCCAAAAAAAAAAAAATCCTGAGCACTCAACAGTCAAACAGTCATCATCAACACCTTCGCCAGTCATAAGCCTCTGCATTAACTGCTGCACACTACAAAAAAGCATCTCAGAGCAAGGCTAAGGGTTTAACATAAATGTTTAGAAGGCAGTTTGACATATGTCTGTTTAGCAATACAACAGTCATAGATTCTTCCCTAGGGACTATGATTTCCCCAGCCATGAACTCTTGACAAGATTTATAGTGCCAGATATGAATTCCCTCCTTTGGATTAAGTCTCAAATCCAGTCAGAAAGTGGTTTAGTTACCCGCTTTGCTGGATAGTGTCAGTTGTCAACTGGACACACCTGTATAGAGGGGACTTCAGTTGAGGAATTTCCTCCATTGGACTGGCCTGTGGCCATGTCTGTGAGACATTTTCTTGATTGCTGAGTGATGATGTGGGAGGGTCCAGCTCACTTTGGGAGGTGCCACCCCTGGGCAGGTGGACCTGTGTTGTATAAGAAAGTAGATGTATCACAGGCCAGAGGAGCAAGCCGGTAAGCATTGTTCCTCCATGGTCTGTGCTTCAGCCTCTGCCTCCAGGTTCCTGCCATGAGTTCCTTCCCTGACTTCCCTTGGTGATGAATCTCATGCAGGAAATGTGAGCTAAAATAAACCCTCCACAAGTTGTTTTTGGTCAGTGTTCTTATCACAGCAATAGAAAGCTAACCAGAACACTCCCTTAACATTCATGACACTATTACACTGGTATACTTTCAGTGTGAGTGCTTGTGCCACTGTATGAGTGTGTATATGTGTATTTTGTGTACACATTCATGTGGAGGCCAGAGGTCAACCTTGGATGTCATTCCTCAGGAGACATTCACCTTGAGTTTTTTTTTTTTTTTCACTATGACCTGAGATTTGCTGATTATGCTATGATGGCTAACCAGTGAGCCCCAGGGATCTGCCTCTTTCTGCCTCTCAAGTGCTGGGGTTATAAACATGTGCCACCACACCCAGCTTTTTACTTGGATGCAGGGAATCAATCATGTCCTCCTGCCTGTGTGGTAAGAAATTTAGCTGTCTTCCCAGTCCCACATGTTACTTTTAAGTGTCCAAAACTGAAGTTTGAATTCAGCAATATAGCACTCTGAACATGAAGTTTTCCTCCCTGGTGAGAGTATTTTTTTCACAGTTTCATTTCTTAAATAGATAAAAAATTATTCAGACAATTAATTTCTTCATAACTAAACTTTTATAGTATTATAGTTTCATTTCTAGATCTGTAAAAAACACCATGGCCAAAAGCAACTTGGGGGAAAAGGGTTTATCTACCTTACAGATTACAGTCCTTTGGTGGGGGAATCCAGGGCAGGAAGGAACTCAAGGGAAAAACCTGAAGACAGGAACTGAAGCAGAGATCATGGAGGAACACTGCTTTCTGGCCTGCTTCCCCTGGCTTGCTCAGCTACCTCTTATACAGGCCAGGCCTACCTTCTCAGGTATTGCACTGCCCACAGTGGACTGAGCCCTCCTATACCAAGCAACAACTAAGAAAATACCTCACGGACATGCTAACAGACCAGGCTGATGGAGGAAACTCTTCAGTTGAGGTTTCTTCTTCCATAGTGACTCTATTTTGTGTAAGTTGATAAAACATCAGTACAGTCGACCCCTTCTCAACTTGACACACAAATATCACTATTAAACTATAATCTTGTTTATCCCTAAGATCTCATGTTAATATAATATACAACACTTTTTTTCTTATGAAAATTAACTGATGTTGGCCACTGGTTGCTGCTAGCTTCTTCCTAAAACAAGGGACTCTAGATAGGCTGACTAGACTCAGTGGATGGACTTGCACTGGGGAACGGCTGGGAGCACTGACAACACAGTGGACAGTAACAGGGATGACAGAGTATATGGGCTCCAGTGGGGGATGGAACCTATGGGAGGATGCCAGTGGGGATGGGGGTATAAATATAAAACACTTTTAAAAGTCCCACAGTTTTAAAATTCCAATGATCTTCCAAATTCTCCTCTTTAGAAACTCTAATTCTCTTAACTGTGGGCTCCTATAAAGTCCAAACTAAGTTATGTACTGTCTTATTTCAAGAAAGGAGAACTAAGAGAACTAGTTCAATCGAAGAAAAGCCAAACTCCAACAGTGTAACTTGCTCAGTTTCTGACATTGGTGATTCACTCACAATCGTCTGGGCTCCAAAGGGCTCGGTAAGTCCCCCCTCCAGCTGTGCCATCTGCAGTACACACAGCTTATCAGGTAGCCTCAGGCTGGCTCCACTCCAC